CCCCAATCTATCCTTCCCTGCAGGGCACCAACCGCATCCTTTCGGAGCGGCGCTCAGAGCAGCGGCGCCTGCTCAGTGCCATCGGCTCTGCAGCCCTGCTGGATAGTGACCTGCTGAAGCTCAACCAGCTCAAGGTGTGTGGTGGGGGTGGGAGTGTGGGTCTGGGTACCCCCTCCTGGCCCAGTGCCTCCCAGTCTGACCAGTTCCCCCTCCCCTCCCTCCCAGTTCCGCAAGAAGAGGCTGCGGTTTGGGCGCAGCCGCATCCACGAGTGGGGGCTGTTCGCCATGGAGCCCATCGCCGCCGACGAGATGGTCATCGAGTATGTGGGGCAGAACATCCGACAGGTGAGGAGCCACTCTGCCCCAGAGCCAGCCGCATCCTAGCCATCTGTGCAGCTGTTGTGTGTGGCCGGTTCCTGGCCATTCCACCTCACAGCCAGCCACATCCTAGCTGTCACCATGGCTGTTCTATGTGGCTGTTTTCCAGATGCTCTACCCCAGAGCCAGCCACATCTCAGCTGTTGAGTGTGGCTGCTTCTTAGCTGCTCCGCCCAAGAGCCAGCTGCATCCTAGCTATAACTGAGACACTGCATGTGGCTGTTCTCAGATGCCCCACTCCAGAGCTGGCCGCATCTCGGCCATCCCCACAGCTGTTCCCCGGCTGCCCCAGCCCAGAGTCGGCCGCATCACAAGTAATCCCCAGTGGCTGTTTTTCCCAGAGCTGGCTGCATCTTGGGGTCGGGTGAGCTGTTACATAGGGCCGTTCCCAGCAGGCCCACTCTTGGGGTCGGGTGAGCTGTTACATAGGGCTGTTCCCAGCAGGCCCCCCCCAGAGCCAGCCATACCTCAGGGCTGGGCCTTCACTACCTCCCCTCCCCCCCAGGTGGTGGCCGACATGCGGGAGAAGCGTTACGCACAGCAGGGCATTGGCAGCAGCTACCTCTTCCGCGTCGACCATGACACCATCATTGACGCCACCAAGTGCGGCAACCTGGCGCGCTTCATCAACCACTGCTGCACAGTAAGCCTGAGCTCCTGGCCCCGCCCCCTGGGCTCCCAGCTCTGCCCCCAGGCTCACCCACATTTGTACATGCCCACCATTCCCAGCCTCGTGTGCATCTGTGCTCACCCACTAGGCCCCTGGCTCTGCCTACTGGGTCCCTGGCTCCACCCACTTGGCTCTGGGCCTGCCCTCTGGGACTGTGGCTCCACCTCCTGGGCTCTCAGCTTCGTCCCAAGGACCCCTGGGCCTGCCCACACCTGTAGGTGCCCACCATTCACACTCTTGTGCTCACCTGTGGTCACCCAATGGGGCTCTGGTCCCTGCCCACATGGCTGTGGCTCCGCCCACTTGTCTGTGGGGCTACCCACTGGGCTTCTGGCTCTCCCCCAGGTCCTAGGTTGGTGAACATCCATGGTCACCCACTGGGGCTCTGGTCCCTGCCCATTTTGACTTTGGCTCCTCCCACTTAGCTCTGGCTCTGCCCCCTGGGCTCCCAACTCTGCCCCTGGGCCCCTGAGCCCACCCACACCTGTAGGTGCCCACCATTCCCAACCTTGTGCACATCTGTGGTCAGGGGGCTCTGGCTGAGCCCACTGGGCCTCTGGCTCTACCCATTTGGCTCTGAGCCCACCCACTGGGCCCCTGGCTTCCCC